TCTTGATGTTTGCATCAAGTTTCTGCCTCCTCATGGTGAGTGGGGTGGCGGCAGTCCTGAGAAAAGATTCTGGAGGCCTGAGCTTCTGGAGGTCTTACAAAAGACCCTTTCTCAAACAATAAATTGGACAATAATATAGGAAGACACCCAAGGTCCAATTCTGGCCTTTACACACAAGCATCCAAGACAAAAATACATCAAAGACAAAAGAATGAATACATTAATTAATTAATTAAAAAATTAAATGTCCATCCCAGTTTAGAATGAAATGGAAAACTTCTTCCTGATGTAAGGCATCTCTGTGGAGATATACATATAACACAGATAATAAAAGACCCAAAGACAGATACTGGGGTTCAAGCTGAAGATCAGAGAAGCAAAGCAGCAAGCCACTAGCTCTTACCTCTACCTCAGGCTGAAAGGACTGTCCTATCCTCAGTGTGGCTGGAGAATGAATCTCTGAGACTGACTGCTAAAATCCCTGCTCCTATTTTATATACCTCTGTAGATCTGGGATTAAAGTGCTGAGAACTCCTTTGTGTGAGCTTTTTCTCTTTCAGACTAATTCACTCCAGTGTAGCACTGGGTGGCCTTGAATTCACAGAGATCCATCTGCCTTTATCTCCTGAGTCCTGGGATTAAAGGTATGTGCCACTACTGCTTAGCTTCTATGGCTGACTAGTGTGACTGCTGGAATTAAAGAAGTGTATCATCAACTGCCTGGTTCTATGGGTGTGGCTAGCTTTGCATTTTGATTTCCAGTTGTTTTATTAGATCATAAACAATATAACACCACAGATATACATTGCAGTATTTAGGAAATTTTAAAAAAAGAGAGTCCTTCCTACAAATGAGGTGTGGGATTTTTAGACATATATAACCATGTCTTTATGTATTCACCTGGATTTAAGACATAGTTAAGTGCCTAGACATGCTTAGAATTTGGCCAACAAACTACATATATAAGTAATTGTGATTACTTTAAAGGAGCATGGTTTCCCTTTGTTCTAATCAAATTATCATACAAGACTTGGATTTTAATTCATGTGTACATTTATTATTGATGATGCTGAGAAATTCAAATTTGGAAATACATAAAGAATTCAAAAGCACTAAATAGAAAATTGCAAAAAGCAAAGACAAAAATCACCTAAGCTCAAGAGAGACTGAGAAACAAAATTCAATTTTCAAGCTAAGTTCTGTGGTGCTGGCTTTAATCACAGCTATCAGAAGTCTGAGGCAGGAGGATTGCCAGTTCAAATCCAGCTGAAGTTACAGAGTGAATGTAAGGCCAAACTAGGCAGCTTAAACCATGTTTCAAAACAAAAGTAAAAGGAGAATGATATATAATTCCGTGGTAGAGAACTTACTGGCATGCATAAGACCCTAGTTCAGTCCCCTGAGACCATCAAAAATGGAACAAAAACAAAACAGTTTCCATATATAAGAACTTTGAAATGCCTCTAACTGTATGCCACAACTAAGAAGATAAGGTGTCTAATAGGAAATTTCTGAAAAGTATCCTGGTTAATGGGAAGCTGAAACAGACACAGCAGTGTATCTGCCTTATAAAATGGTGGATGGATGCTGATCCTGGAGAGACAACTCAGCAGTTAAGAGGACATACTGTTCTTTCAGAAAATCTAGATGCATCAGTATTGAGATCAATAATAATTGGGGTTTAGGATGAAGATCAGAGAAGCAAAGCAACCAAGCCACCAAAGAGCTCTTACCTTTGACAAGGCTGGGGATATCCTGTCCTCAACATGGCTGGAGACTAATTGCCCTGAGACTGAATGCCAGGTCTGAGACCCTGCTCCTGTATTATATACCTCTCCAGTGCTGGGATTAAAGGCATGCACCACCACTGCCCAGCTTCTATGGCTAACTCGTATGGTTGC